CGGCGCCGCCATGGCGATGAGGCAGACGCCGCTGACGTGCTCGGGGCACACGCGGCCCGTGGTGGACCTGGCCTTCAGCGGCATCACCCCCTACGGCTACTTCCTCATCAGCGCCTGCAAGGGTGAGGCCGGCGGCGGCGGGAGAGGCGGCCGCTGCGCCGTGGGGACCCCCGGGCCGTCCCGTTGTCGGCGCCGCGGGCCCCGGTGCGAGCGGCGCCGCGTGGGCCTCGCTGCGCTTTTGGCGTGAGAGGCTCCGGCGGCGCCTTGGGGGAGCAGCCTTTGGCACCGCGCGCTCGTGTTCGCCTTGTGTGCGGATTCCTGCCCCTAAAAACCGCCTTCCTCCCAGCCTTGGGGTGCTTCAGTCTCCTTTCTCGTGGGAGCACCTTCTCCGTGACTCCCAACGGACTCTAAGGATGGGAGTGGCTTTCTAATCTTGTCCTGCGTGCCCGTCTCTGTGTATTTTGAATGTATAGACATTACATAATGACACATATATAAGACATATAGACATAATAGCCCTTTCTGAGCAGTATGGATCTGAAAATACTGTTCTAAAAAACAAAGGGACTCCATGTGCTGTAGGTGACCCTGCGTGAGCAGGGGGGTTGGACTAGATGACCTCTGAGGTCCCTTCCAACCTCAACCATTCTGTGATTCTATGATTTACCTGTAGAGGAAAACTGGAGCAAAACTACAGCCAAATACCCCTTCCTCTTCCTCTGACACATTTCCCCTTTAAAAGCTCACACAAAGGAAACTTGTATTTACTTTGTGATAGTGTTTTAAGGCCTATGAAGACTTTTAGATACTAACAGCAGGTGCAGCTGGCATATCTAAGCTCTTTAGCAAAGTTCTTTTTCAAAAAACGGCGTCATAAAATATGTCACCAAATGCCTCTTTTTGAGGAATTGTCACAGTATCTTTTTTTTTTTGTTCTGTGTTTGTATAAAATAATCTTCTTAAAATAGTTTAATTTTATTTGATAATGTTATCTGAATATTGATTTTTTTTTCTTCTGTTTTTAGATGGAAAACCCATGCTACGCCAGGGCGACACAGGAGACTGGATTGGGACATTTCTAGGTCATAAAGGTGCCGTTTGGGGTGCGACTTTGAACAAGGATGCCACGAAAGCAGCTACAGCAGCAGCTGATTTTTCAGCGTAAGAGTTTTTCTATTTACCAAAGTCTCACTATGTTTTGACTCTAATCAATGATTTTTTTTTTTTTGTGACATAGAGTTGTTAAAGTTGCTTAATTTATCAAAAGGAAAATAACTATTAAGCTCGTTTATGGATGGTTTAAATCAAGATCTAAAACTTTAGATTCTACTGCAGCTACTGCTAATTTTGTCATGCTGATCAACTGTGATTGCCTCTTTGTCAAAATACTTAGTTACCACAGTTGTTTGCAGGAATAACTTCTCATACAGCTCTAATCTTTAGCACTGTAGAGTGCTAAAATGGGAATTAAAAATGATTTTTGCTTCTTACAGTTGGTCACATTTTATTGATTATTTTCTGTTGCTCGTAGCTGGGGCAAACTAGCTTGTGACACCAAAATTTCCATAGCATTGTAGAATTCATAATAGCTACCATTTTGGGGTTTTAAAACATACTGGATATTCCAGAAAAGCCATGCAAAAACAAAACCTTTCTGTCTGCTTTTAATGTGTGTTAATGTTTGCCGTCTATTAATATGAGACAAAATGCCATTTCATTTAAAGCCATACAGGACAGCTGCATTTGTGTTTACAATAATAGGAATTCTGAATTATTCTGGAGAAGGGCGAAGAAAATGGCAGGCTAGTACAAAAAAATTGAAAAACTTATAAAGTACTTTTATTGACTGACTGGGTTGTTGTCGAATGTAGTGATTACAACAAAATGTTACAAGGGTGTCAGGAAAAACTATTTACAAGCTAATCGGACCTCTAGGTTAGTTTTTCTCAGTGTTTCTAAAATTTAAATGTTTTGTCTTGTCATTTAGCAAAGTATGGGATGCTGTGTCAGGGGATGAGCTGCTCACATTGGCTCACAAGCACATTGTCAAAAGCGTGGATTTTACACAGGTATGAACAAACTTTGTATCTTACCTGACAGAAAAGTAAGCACTCAAGTGTATTTGCTGTTTTTTTCTTTTTTTGTGTGTGTGTGTAAATACAAATACTAGAAATAACAGAATATCTACACATTCTAGAAATAGTAGAAATAATAGAATATACAAATATTATAGCATCTCTCTCCTAGGTTTTTAAGATTATATTTTAAACGTAACTATAGTAAGTGTATTGGTAGGCGGAGAGAAAGAAGTGTTATTTGAAGGCTGATGTCTCAATTCAAAATAGAGCTGACTCTTTGTAACTTGTGTTTCAGGACAGTGATTATCTGTTAACAGGTGGACAAGATAAATTGTTGCGTATTTATGATTTGAGTAAGCCGGAAGCAGGTGGGTCTGGTTTTGTAACTGATTTTTGCTGTTTAGAATTAAATAAGTTTTGAAAATTTCCACAACATTTCAATCTCCTTTCTATTACGAATTTCAATGGAAAAAAATCAGTATTGTTTCACACAGAGCACCCTCTGTGTAACCTTTCTTAGTAAGATCATTGGAAGTCTGCAACATTTTAAGCTCATCTTTTTTTGTGAGTGCGTTGGAGCTTATAAAAGGTAAAACAGTTTACAGCAATAAGGTCCCCAGTATCTTCAAGGACAGCATGTTTAAGTTCTATCCAAATCTATTGGGGAATGAGTCCAGGTAAAAATAGGCTACTTGAGACTTAGGCTAAGTTTCTGTGTATTTAAGTGTTTTTTAATTCATGCTAATATTGATGTTGAACTGCTGAAAAAATATATATATAAATATATATCCCATGTAAGACATGAACTACTTAAGCTTTTTGTGCATTCAGCTCTTTGAATGTAATCTGCATTTATCCAGTTCCTGGAGTAAGATCCATGAATAGAATTGTAAGTGCTCGAAATAAGCTCAAATTAATTTCTGGCAAGCAGAAATTCATGTAGAATAACAGAGCTCTTGAACTACTGTAAGTACTAAAATACTTGCTGTAATTTTTAAGAACCTCAGGTTATCAGTGGGCATACTTCTGGCATTAAAAAGGCTTTATGGAGCAGTGATGACAAACAGATTCTTTCAGCTGATGATAAAACTGTCCGGTAAGGAAAAGCTACTTTTTTTTTCTGAAAAAGCTCACTGTTTTGTTAATGTTTGGGATGTGTGTGCTTGTTTGTTTGTTTTTAATAACATGTCGAAATATTATTATTTGTCTCCTTTCAGCAAAAGAGATACTGTCAGTTATTTGATTCTAGCCTATTGTTCTTCTAAACTGCTGAACATTTTAGTCTTGCAACCATCTCAATCTAGCCCTGTTTTGTATCAACAAAATAATTTTTGCAGCAACAGAATAACTTAAAATCATTTGTTGATATCTCATAGTTAATATACTAAATGCCTTAGCATTGGGTACCCTGAGAAAAGTAGATCATGTTGGAAACTTGCAAGTTTACCTTCTGTAAACCTGAAGGTGAACTTATAGAGAAGCTTTCTGTGTTTTATGCAGAGGTGCTGCTTCTTTATCTTTCACACTTGAGCCTTCAAATATGTCCAAGACAAGGCCTTGCCAGAAGCTGAGGTGAAAGACTAGGGATAGTATCTGGAAACAGGGCACTGTTGACAAGTGAAACTCTTATTCTCTGCCATACTAATAAGTTGTTGCATTAAGTTTCAAAAGTAGTGTAAGCATGTTTTAATTTTCTGCTGGGCAAAACTTTAAGATAGGAATATAGAATCGAGTGAAATTCTTTATTGGGTGGCTTCAAAAAACAAACAAAACTTCCCATGAATGGGAATGAGAACTGCTGTAGGAATTTAACAGTCTCTTCTTTGTAGCCTCTGGGACCGGAATACCATGACTGAAGTAAAGGCATTAAACGTTGCCATGTCAGTGAGCAGTATGGAGTATGTTCCAGAAGGACAGATCCTTGTGATAACCTATGGGAAGACCATTGCTTTTCATAGTGCAGAAACGTGAGTCTAAAGCTGAATATTTTCTTAGAGTAACTAATAACTTGTTGTGTTGGTAAAGATGGCTGTACAAAACCAAATCACCGAGTCACCAGAATTAGCTTTGAAAGGTATCTTTGCTATCCAGTCAGATGCAGTGCAACACGTTTACCTTTTCCAAAAATAACCATCTTTAACTGTCTGTAAAATGCAAGGCTGTAGGTGCTATGGTTCATACTAATTGTCATTGTAGTTAAAGAAACCTTTCATTTGGGGTTTAGTTCAGCTCCTTTTAGAGAACTGCTTATTAATACATCTCTTTGATGTCTTAAGGAAGCAATAGCAGGTTCAAGAAAGTATTTCTAAATGTTTACAACTTCTGTTTTTCTTGATCTTAACTCTTTGCTTCTAACTTGATAAGCTCCTCTTGCAGATATTAAAACTTATTTCAGAAAACTATGTTTTGTTTTTCTTAAACAGTTGTAATTTGTACAAGTTTCTTAGCTTTTGGGACTTTTTTTAATAATAAAAACTCTTACCAACAAACTTCTTTTCTCAGTCTAGAGCAAATTAAATCATTTGAAGCTCCTGCTACGATCAATTCTGCATCACTTCACCCTCAGAAGGAATGTCTGGTTGCAGGTGGTGAAGATTTTAAACTTTATAAATATGACTATAATACAGGAGAAGAATTAGGTATGTTTGTCTTCTATAATGGAGTTCTGAAATTAGTTTAATATTCTAGTAGATTGTTACACTTAATCTCTGAGAATGCTGTGTAAGCAAATACAAGCTCTAAGCCAACAGCTTAAGTTTTTGTTATCTCAGTACACCTGTCATTCTTTGGGACCGATCAAAAACGTGCTTTAAACAACCATCAAAACACAAAATAAGTAGAATCGTTCAGTGGTGAAGTAGTGGCAAGCTATATGCTAACTTAAAGGCTGTATTATAGCATTCATCAGGTATGTCTTATGAGTCTGTATAAAGGATAACTTCTGTTTAGGGCAGGAGGGAATAGGGGTGGAACATGGGTCTGTTAGTTGATCCTATCCTTACTCAGAAGTTTGTGCAGAATGAGTGGTTGGAGGGCCAGACTGTGTGTGGTCTGTGCTCCTGGCTTGCTTTTGAAGCCAAACTTGCAGAACCTGATTGGAAAATGATACCAATATGTTCTCTTCTAGAATCTTACAAAGGACACTTTGGTCCCATTCACTGCGTGAGATTTAGCCCCGATGGAGAGTTATATGCCAGTGGTTCTGAGGATGGCACACTAAGGCTGTGGCAGACAACAGTAGGGAAAACCTATGGTCTTTGGAAATGTGTAATTCCTGGTAAGTGTGTGTGCATTTTCCTGGTGAAACTTGGCTGCTTCAGGTGCACTTTTGAAAAGTTGTCAAACATGTTGAGTGCGTGAAGGCAATGTCTGGCAGTAAGAGCATAAATGAAGAACATAGGTTTCTGTAGTGTCTGTATTCTCTTAAACCTCCCCGCACCTTGCGTGATTGTGGCCGTCAGCTAATTTCAAACATACAGGATTTTTAACTGTAAGCATGTTAAATATTTAAGTAGCCTGTTACATTTTGATGTTACAGAGCAAGAAATATGAAATCTCATTTTTATAAATACTTAAGGATATAAGAGTCTCTAAGAGGAAAAAAAAGTGCAGATAAACTTAACTATGTGGTATGACTTAGGTTCTCTACACTTAGTGGAAAAATAATAAAAAACAATGCCTAGAAAACTTCAAGCAGATATCTGTGAGTGAAATATCTTACATAATTTCTCTGTTCAACCCAAAATGAATGAGTGGAAGCCTTATTATCTGATTTAAATACATGTATGGGTGTGGGGAAGTCGACTGAAGATACTGTTTTTTTCTTCCTGTAGAAGAGGAGAATGCAGAAGCAGCAAAAGCAAAGACTACCCTTCCAGCGACTGCAGAGGAGGAAATAGGTAAAGCACTGAACTGCCAACTTCAAATCTGCTGTTAGAAAGATCAGTAAAGACAGTAGCATTATAGTTTATATTACCTGGTTTATATATATATTTTTATAAGTAGCATTACTTATACTAAATAGCCTTAGTGTGGAAGAGTGATTTCTTCCCCCCACCCTCACCTCTAAAAGCACGATCTGCCATTTTTGGCTCTTCTCACAGCATCTTTGACTACATGTGTAGTGATGAGTTGTGCAATCTTGTAAACTGTGCAAACAGATTTAGTACAAATAACAATTTGAGTTAAATGAAAAACAGTCCAAGTAGATCTTTACCTGCTTTACCGTAAAATAACCCTTTTGACGTTCCTTTTGGTTATATATCTTAAGGTGAACTAATGCCTGCTTTCTTTAATTGCAGAAGATATTGCCTCTGAGAACTCGGATTCAATGTACAGCTCAACTCCTGAAGTTAAAGCCTGAGCATCACAACTGTTAGGCAACATACAGACATGGGAGACTAAATCAAGTGAACAGTGATATGCAGCAGCCTTCCGGAGTGCACTCTCTACATAAGGCAAAGATGGGCAGTAATTGATGAGAATGCGTTGGAACTGGCTAGGTGTTGTCTATAAGAGAACTGAGTATCCAAAAAAAAAAAAAAAAGAAAAAGAGAAAAGACAAGTAGTAGAGTTTTGCTATCTTCTTAGCATAGCTGCCTACTGTCTTTTGAATGAAGCGTGCAAGCCAAGATCCAGTCTCTCCAATTTCAATTAGACTCATTATAGTGTTTTCTTTATTATGGAGACGAGATACAAGAGCTTTTACTCATTTTTTTCATTGTTCTTGAAAGTTGGAATATTTGGCTTTAGTTGTAAAGACGGGATTATGTACTAAAGTATTTGATTCGGGTTTTGTTTCATTGTACACTGCTTACAAACATTTAACTGTTTTCAGTTGTCGAAATAAAATGCCTCTCAAAACTTGTGTATTTAATGTCTAATAGGGGGCTCATGGAATAGAAAAGCAACCAACTTACTGCATAATCCTTTCTATTTGTGTGTACTAAACAAGGAGCAAAAGCACTAGGAATGTTTTGAGGCAGCAAGGAGCACATTCCTTGAGTTATAAGCCTTGCCTTTCTATTCTTTAATGTTTGAATGTAGAAGTAAGTCTCTAAACTTAAAACCCTTGAAAAATTTCCAAACTTAGTTGTAGGTGAAAATGCCAGAGGTGGGCCATGAATCTGTGCAAAGCTGGGGTTGACGACTCTAAATAGGCTAAACTGACACTTATTCACGACCATATGTTACATTTTCTTCCTTAAAGAAAATACTGCCCTTCTTGCACTTGCCCCTTCCTTTCCTATTATTACTTCTCCCAGCCCCGAGTTCGTATTAAGGGTGAGTCCCATCTCTCTCAAGGCCGAACCGCCCTTTGGGGGGGGCGGTGCTTTGCCACGTTTAAATAATAACAATATTAATGCTGAGAGGGCGGTGTGTCCCGCCCCAGAGCCGCCTCTTTCCCCGGTGTCTCCGCCCCAGATCCCGGGGCGGTCCCGGCTCCAGATCCCGCCCGGAGCGGGGCGGAGCGGAGCGCGGCGGGCGATGGCGGCCAGAAACCCGGGCACGGGGCTGGGTAAGCGCCGCGGCCGGGGCCGCGTGCGGCTCCGGGGCCGCGCGGAGCCCTCGCGGGGCGGGAAGCGGCTCCCGCTCCCTGAGGAAGCGGCTCCCGCCCCGCGAGCCGCGCGCGCGGTGCCGGCCGCTGCCGTTAACGGCCGTCACGGGCGCGGCTCGCTCCCTGCTCCCTGCCCGAGATGCGGCTGGGAAGTGCAGTCCGGAACGGAGGAGCGAGTCGGAGCAGCCCTTGGGGCTGGTTTCTGGTGGTGGTTTCTGAAAGTGTTCGGTAAATAGGGGGGATCCTAGGAAATACTGCTCAGATTCCTGCAAAGTCTTCAAGTGTTGCTTAAAGGACTAATTACAAACAGATCTGTTATGATTAGATTTTAGGTCCTTTAAAATACCCTTGTGACACTTTTTTTTTTTCTTTTTTTTCAGACTTTCTTTCCAACCAGAAGGCCCATAGAAAGTTTATTTTCCTTTGGCCCTTTTTGTTTAATAGAAGTTGAGATTTTCTTGTATCTTCCTTTATATAGCACCTTGACTCCAGAGGCTGGACCTTTGGATGGGCTGTCAGCCTTGCAAATACCCATGCAGGCTCACAGGACTGGTGGAGCTGCAGTGTCGTCACCCCACACCTTGCATCTTGCATATCAGATTTGGGGCCAAATAAACCTGATAAACCTTTACCTAGCCCTTATCGCTCTTCCTCTCTCCCAAGGGGTTCATACCCTTTTTTTTTTTTTTTTTTTTTTTTTTTCCCTTGTTATTTGGATTATAATTTACTAACTCATGGATGATAAGGCTGTGGACAACTATAAGTTGTCTCAATATCTCTTCTGTATAACAGCTGCATGTAGCCCCTAAAAGGGAGCTGTTACGTTCCTCTGTGGCACTTATCCCCAGTTGTTCTGCAGTGCTTATGCTAGGGCTGTTTGCAGGGCAGAGAGTTTCTTTCAGCTGCAGTCATCTGCACGTGTCCTTGTGTTGACGCAGGCATGTTCCTAGGGCCGTGCAAACCTGCAGTGTCTGCGAGGAAAAAGGCCAGCGTGCACATTTGCACGTGCACTCCCACTGCACGTGCAGCCTGTAAACAGGCACCCAGCGAGGCTCATCTTACTTTGAATTTCATTTTACAGCACTCCTGAAACTCAACTCTAGAAAATCCTGTAGTAGTTCATCTCCTTTCAGAAGGTTTCCTGTAGTACATGGGGGGACAAGGTAAGGAAGGCCATGCTGCCAGGGCTGTGGGTACTGCAAGAGGCAACCTGAAATACATTTGGCTGTGTTTTGCTCTACAACAGTACAAGTCAAGGGGATAGAAAAACTACTGAGTCGGCAGCTCATCAACACAAAATAATTGTTATTTTCACACAGTGAAACTGTCTTTGAGCAAGCCCCAAGTATTTCCCACATGTCACTCTTCTCCTGTAAAGAGCCTTCTGCTGCCCCAGAGGTGGCATTAGCCTGTGCACAAGACTTAACACGGAGCATGTCTCAAGTGCAGGACCAAGTCAGCTTTTGAAGGCTCATCTGGCTTGTGCTAATACACTTAACAGTAATTCAGTAAAGGTTTGTCCTGCACCTCACAGTGATAGTTGTAGAATAACAGGAGTTTTCAAACAGAGACACCTAGTGGTAAAATATCTTTTATTTAAATATGCATTATTTTATTTGAATCCTTTTTTTTTTTTTCTTTTTTTTTCTCTGTATCCACTCTTTCTGTGCTTGCTACTTGGTGTCATTACTTCTGCTGTAATTTCTGATACCCACAATTGGTATTTATTTGTTCACAAATGCCAAGACAGGTGTCCTCAAACCATATCACACAATGCTATCACCTGTTATTTTTTTTCCCTGCTAAAATAAATAGATTATTGTAAAAATCTCTTTATTCATCCTTTCTTTTCTTTCTCATCAGTGTTCCTCAATAGAATAACAAAGAGTTACTTGTATTAAAGAACAGGTACATCTAAGGAAGATAAAAAGACATAACAGAATCCTGTAAAGAAAGTGGACAAAACATTTTAAAATATGGTATTGCACAAGGGAAAATTTGAGGGGTCTTTCTCATATGCTCAAGTACAACAACATGACCAGAGGGGCTAGAAGGAGTGTCCTTTCCTGTTGTGATCCCAAACTGTAAGAAATTGGTCACTGGTTTGAGTGACCAAATTAGTCCCTCTGTTGAGGAAAAAGCAGGCACTGTTCAGCATATCTTTTTTCTTTAATTCCACATTTTTGCGCAGGGGAGAAAGCTTCATGTAAATTATAAGTGTCCTGTCTTACTCCATGGTCATGAGGACCATGATGGGCAGCGGGGTTATTGGAGTAAGGAAAGGTTTCTGGAGCAAGGGGAAAAGAGGAACAGGAAGAGGACACATCTACAGGAAATCAAGCTCCTGTTCTGTATAGCTCATGGAGCAACCTACTTCCTAAAAAAAATAGCTTGTCAGTGGATTTCAAAATGCATTAGGAGGTACCATTGTGGTCCGTGCTTTCAAGTGTAGTTAGATCCGGGTCCAGGCTTGCCCACTTTGCAATATCTGTTGAGATTCTCACCACAGTGGTCTCCCAAGGCAGTAGCAGTCTGGTGTTTGGCCTCTTTAAAGTCAAAAAAGGTATGATGTGGTGTAGCATGTAGACTCTACAGTTTGATGGTTGGGCTTGATGATCTTGAAGCTCTTTTCCAACCATAATGATTCTGTGATGCTGTATGGTCCACCTTGAGCCCCAAGTGGGTGCGATTCATTTCACATGATTCGTGGCCAGCGTTGTGCAGTTTCTGGATGGTTGCAAGTCAGTGTGAGCTGATTTCTAGTGTGGGACTCGTGCTTATTTGGTGACTAGTTTTCTATAACTCTTTAACAGGATCTGATGCTGAAGCCTTTTCTGTGTCCTGTGCTACTGTTAGCTGTGTGTGGCCAGTTATCTTTAGCCAAATGCCTTATTTCACTGCTGGAGGTTCGGGGCACAGTTTCATATTAGCTCCTCCAGGAATAACAGCTTTCGTCCCTGCGCTTATCCAATTTATTGTGTGCCTGTGCTAAGGGCAAGAGCCCATGTGCTGTTCTTGATGTAGAGGGGGAGATAGACTGTTGATGGGTGGGCCAGCTTCATTTGAGGAGAGTGCAGGCTTATATGACCTTAAAATTGCTTGTGAACCTGTGGCCTCAGATATTCTTCAGCTCTGTGTTTCACCATCAGAAGGGATACTGTCATTAAAAAAAAAAGCTGAAAAACCCAGTGAAGGTATTAGGCACCTTAAATATTTATGTAATTGTAGCAGTGAAGCAGTTCTATTCTGTGCTCTCTGAGGAAATGGTTAATGGTTTTGGATTCATGTCCCTCAAGGCGGGTAGAAGAATTTCCATTTCCTGGTAAGGTTTTTTAAAGGTTTTCAAATGTCTTCAGAGGAAAAAAGTAAACTTCAAGAGTGATTATGGAATATTGGCTAATTAGACATAGTGTAACTGCTTTAATTACTTTTATCCCTGAAGCCACATGACTGTGCAGATGACTAGCAGATGACTTATTTAAAAAAAAAAAAAAAAAGATATGTTCACACTGCAAGGTTAATGAGCCTAATTAAATATAGTTTTCCTTAGCCAGATACTAAATGATAAAGCTGGGGGCATGGGGGAGGGGGAAAATCCAAAGGCAATCAATTAGCTCCTTCTCAAATAATGGCTTTGTTCTGAGTTTTAATGCAAAAAAGCTGGAATGATGACTGATTTTTTTTGAATAAAGACCTGTACGTTTAAAGGTCTACTGAGACCTCACATGGCAAACTTTGAAATTCTATTTAGAGACAATTATGCTCAGACATATTTGTTTTCACTTGCCCACTGCTTTAATTAATGGAGAAGTGGGCTTGCATAAACAAGTGGTGTTATACAGAAGTCTCCATCTGCCACCGCTTATTACCAGAACCTTTGTCCTTCCTTGCCATGCAGTCTTTCTATTACACCATTTTTATTTTTCTCATAAGCTGTAGCTACATAATGTCTCACATTAAATTTTATGGCAAGGATAAAGTCTCTTTAAAAAAAAAAAATTCTGACAGTTCAGTGCACAGCAATTCAGTGTCCTGCATTCTAAGCAACACAGGGATCCAAATTCTGTTGTGTTTCATTGAAACTTAGGGCTCAGGCACAGAAATGAGCTACTAAACCTTAATGAGTTGCCTTGTACTGGCAGTTCCAATAGTGTACTTCTTAGAAAGTCCAGCACAAGATGAATCCTCTTCAAATAATAGGTAATGTAGGGTTAATCTCCTCATGGGAAATTACTTTTCCTTTGACCTAAATTAAAGTTTATGTCCCAAGAATCAAGAAGAAGCACATTTTCCATAGCTAACTAAACAAGTTCTGTTCAGAGTCTCCCAAACTCTTCCACCAGAGGCACTAGCTCTGATAGATTAATTACTTTGTCAGATTTCTTGGTTGCCTTTCGTAATACAGAAAGAGCAGGTCAGAGAATAGTAATTGCCCTGTGTTCCTTACTGGAGAGCTAGAAGCTCAGTTCCTCATGTCAGGTGCCCCCTTAGCTTTTATCACCTTTTCCAAAAGGGCTGAAAGGTTACAATGAACTCAGTAGAGTTCTGAAGTTACCATGATAAGCTGTGTTATCAGATGCTTCCACCTGAGTCCTTGGCATATTGTAGGAAAATCACAACACAGGGTTTGTGTTTCCTTTAAAAACATAAAAACAAATAAAATAAAACCTTTTTTTTTTTTTTTTTTTTCTTTATTCTCTTGCTTGGAAGCCTTTGTCAGTGATTGCTTGTAATGTGCCCCTGGGAGCTGACATGTGCTCTGCGCTGACCATTTAGAGAGCTCACCCTTAAAGTGACTGCAAAGGATGCAGAGGTTTCTTGTGCTTAAGCCATGTGTATTTGGTTTCTACTTATGGCTGAAATTAAAGCACAAAGGAAGTTCTTGCCATAGGTTTTGTAGCGACAGCTTTTCTCAGCTGCTCTCTTCATGTCAGATGATCTTCTTGCATTTGAGACAAAATGAATAAGCCTGTGGCTTACCAGGTAAAGAGAATTGTTTTGGGTTTGCTGTTCATCTGGTCTGCAACTTTGCAAGCTGCTCCTTTTCTTTTATACTATACGGTGAGATTGATGCTAAGTTCTAATGGAAGCCTAGAAAACTCCTAATGCCCTTTTCTTTATTTGGCTTAATTTTGCTGCCCTGAAAGGACAAGATTTCCCCAAGCAATTGGGAATCACTAAGTTTTTGGCTGCTCACTCCTTTTAAATATTACACTGCAAGCTTAAAAAAGTAATGAAGAAGGCTCGCAGAGGAGAGATGTTCACAACAAATTATATGACCCAGAATTGTTACCTATTTCTTAATCATGTGAAACTGCGTCTGTATCCTGTCCTTAATTGGTAACTCAGTGGTATTTATAGTGGTGATTGGTTGATGCTTATTGATGTCTCAACAATTTTTTCTTCGCTTAGCTATATAATTAATATTTAAAGGTACTGGTTATGGTTTGGGCCATCATAGATGTTTTTTCTTTAATTGTTTATGTTCTGTGAGTGAGGGGATTTGAGTTTAAGTTCATTCTCATGCAAAGTTATACCATTGAGTTCTCACATTGAGCAGCAATTTCAAGATTCAGGGATCTGCACGTTCAGTTCTCCTTTGACACTCAGTTACCCATTTTTCAGAGGTGTCCTGCCTAGGTGCTTCTCTTTTGGGGCAATTTCAAAAGTAGACTTCTCAGAAACGTTTCTCTCCGATTATGGCTTATGGATAATGAAACTCTCTCCAAGTAAGAGCCAGGCTGTCCACGGGGCTTCTGAATGAGGTTGTGCTTTGAACATGCTGCTCGGAGTCCTCTGGAGGACACAGAAAAAAAAGTGCTCTAAGGAAGACACATCTGGATGGTTTCCAAACAGGTATTTTGCCCCAGAATTAAATGCCTCAGTAAGCTTGCAGCTAGTCAAGCCTGATTAGCAAATTGAGTAAAATTAGCTCTAGATAATATCCAGATAATAATCCAGATGCTCTATTGCATGAGGGTCTCTGCAGAGGCTTTGGTGGCCGTGTGAGATACAGTTCTGTAGAAGAAAGCAATTTGTACATGCACAGAAAATGCTTTTGGATGCTGCATGTAAGCAGAATAACCAAGGACTGAAAAAAATGTTATTTTCCTCCATCAGCGGGCAGTGACAGGAAGCTGTTAGGCATGTGCTGGCTGCTGCATCCGTAATGGACTTTATAGCCCAGGAGTGGCAATATAACATCTCTGAGCCGCAGGGAGGTAATGTGGCTGCGATGGCAAACAAAACATGCTGTGTGAAAGTGCCCAGTTTACAGATCAGCCCTGACAGAAATTTGGGGTATTATGATGTTTTGGGCTGATGAGAAGTATGCAAGCCCTTACTAGGACATAAAAGCACAACGTTGTCTGCAGAGGACCTGAATCGAACTCCAGCTTTCTTCTGAAGTCCCACACCATATATTAAAAGAACACAAATATAGCTGAGACTTTTTTTTTTTTTTTTTTTTTTCCTCCTAAACCAGATCTTGGCTGGATCTCAAAAGTGTATGTGAATCGAGCTGCAATTGAAAGGCATGTAGAACGAATTCAAGAGCAGAGAACTGTGAAAAGTAATTGGCGAGTAAGTGCTCTTTTTATGCATTCTGTTCCTGTATTTTTAAAGCAGTCACTCTCCTTCTCTAGGCTGCAGTATTGAATTTTGTTCAAGATGCATGTACACTTAAAAGATTGTGCTTGTCCATGTCTTATTTTAATAATTTGTATTTGATGATGATGGGATGGAATAAAGTAACGCATTTATCCAAACAAGTTAAAAACCTTATAACTCATGAGTGGCAAAACCACAAATGAATTTAAGTCATCTTTATTCATGAGAGAATTAAATTGTATATTACTATCCTACCCCATTTATTCTGTTTCCCAGACAGATTTCTCTGCACCCAGCCTTCTTATTTTTTAATTCTGAAGTGGTAAGATATGATCGTGGTCCCTGTCAAGTTTGACCTAAACCTTGATAATCGTTCTTTACTTAAAGATACCCAACATGTGTGATTCTTTTACTTAACTATTTCTTACCTAAAACTCGTTACTTAGCTGAGTATGGGCCCAGGGAGGAAATGAATGGTAAGGGGGCTGACTTCTCAACTACTGAGATATAGTGAGTGAGTGATTGCTGTCAGTCTTCGTGTAAAGAAGGTTAATGTAAGCCAATGGTAAAACCAGTGATCCAGTTAAGCTTTTTGAGGCTGTGTCTTGCATTGATTGAAAACTCCTGTTCAGTGTCTTAACATTACCATCAGCCTCTGCTAATTGTTAATGTCCTTCAGACCCAAGTCCCAGCTGAACCAAGGTCCACTGCAGTTTTCTGCAGTTCATAGACTGGGATCTTGATGCAAACCCATCGGGTCAGCTAATAATCATAGAATCATAGAATCATTATGGTTGGAAAAGACCTTCAAGATCATGGAGTCCAACTCTAAACCCTTCAACCCCATACCTGCTAAACCATGTCCCTCCAGGCTATGAAGCAGGAGAGTCCTGGCCACGTGCTGGGTCCTGAAAGCTATGAATGTTTTGATTAAATAAGAAATGGACCCAATATGAGGAAGGTTAGATACTAGTTCAGCATTTCCCAAGACTTTCTTACACATAAAAGCTGCTTGATACTGAGTTTAACAGTGCTATGGCTCTAGGTTGGGAAGCAGTGAGAAAATCCCAAGGGTACTTCCTCACCTTGGCTATCTCTCAGATACTTCACACGTACCATATGTAAAAACAGGCTTTTTGGTTTGGCAGAAGTGGCCATATGAAGATGATAAGAACAGAGAATTACAAAGAGGGAATCATTTAGAAGAAGGGCAGGTGCTCTCACTCCCTCTTGAGCTGTACAAGTATAGACTGACTTTGAAGAAGACCACGAGATTCTTTTTAGAAGCACCTCTACCTTATTTGAACACTGTCACTGCAGGATAGTTATGTGCCATTTTTTTCAGAGATGAGCTTGAACCCTTACATGTTTGATTGTAAGTAACACTACAGATTCAAGTTTTCGAGCCTCTATCTCAAAATATACATTTTTAGAAAACCTGTAAAAAAAGAAGTTTGTACCAGTTCTTGGAACTCTCTTCCTACAGCTGTCTTGATGACTTTATGATTCATATCTTAAGAGATGAGACAAAAATTCCCTCATGTGAAGGACAAAAAAAAAAAAAAAATCCAGCATAAGAAACTGAAAATCACTCAGAGTGAAAAATCTGTGTTACAGGGTAAAATTAGAAGTCAGAAATAAGCAGTAAAACTTACTAAACTAACAGAGGCCATTCTTGTAACATTAGTGAAGATCAGGAACCCCAAAACAAATTTTAGTGTAATTAATTTACTAATATAAACAGGTTCAGAAAAAAAGGTCCCATCAGCCAAGTGCAAAAGATTTGTAGACTGGACAGCGTTGATTTGCAGGATAATATCTCCATGCAGAAACAATAAATTTTGCTGCATGTACTAATGAGCCATGTCATGGAGCAAAAGGGCTGGGGAGGTGTCACCAGATGATGCTGCTTTACAAACCTCCTCATCCTCACAAGCTCTTACCTTGCTGAGCCCACTAAGGGATGTCAACTTTTAGTGAAGCTGTCCATGTAAATTAGAACTCGCTGGAAATCCTTCAATAAATATTACAAATCCATTTGTTTTGCACCAAGTAATTACATATGTTTTTTTAATCTCAGTTTCTCACAAAAGAAAGTGTTTTCTGGAGACTCAACCTCAAGCACATGTGCTTACCTAGCACTGATGTGTATGTTCATCTGATTATTCCCAGTCACAAACCTGTGCTCCTTTGGAAGCATATATACATGCTTACAGGCATCATACAGGCTTTGAAAGAGACCCACTGTACAGAGGGAAGCGTGTGATAATAATGGGCCTGCTCAGATAGAAAGTGATTTTTAGCTTTGTGTTGTAGAAGAAGTAAATGTGAAACAAGATGCTCTTTGCCTACCTAAAAGTATCTACCTGGTTCTTATTTGGTACCTCGCTTTTCCACCAAAATTTGTGTGCCAAAAATTGGAATTGATCCAATTACAAGTTAGTTGGTATAGTTATGAGACAATGGACTTTTGATTCTTAATCTCTTCTTCACCATTATAGACTGCTTCAGACGAGAACAAATTTCTACCATCTACATAAACCTTTCTTTGCATATCTTCCATGTTACATCCCGTATGTTTCCTGATTCTTGGAGATCAGTTATTTTCTAAGAAGTGCAGTTGGTTCTCAGTGATATCCAGTCTTTTGAATCCCAAAAGTTTCAAGTTCCGTTTTTCTTTCTTCATACTCTACGTAGGCTGCTTGGCTACTCAAAGCTGTCACCTGCATGGACCTTACCAGTCTTTCAGGTGATGATACTCCTTCAAACATTCACAGAATGTGTTATAAAGCTAAGCATCCCATCAGAGAGGATCTCCTGAAAGCCATGGACATGCATGATAAAGGTATGTTGGTTTTAGCTGCCCTTTTTTTTTTTTCTTCTTTTTGGCGGGGTGGAAATGTCCACATTTCCTCAGCATTTTGCAGTCTTCAGATATAAAAATGGTCTCCTCCTACCATGGAAGCAATTATTGTAGGTCTAGCTCCAAAATATTTGTTCCTTTGAGGTAATATAAGAATATAAGGAGAGAAAAAAAAGCATTCTTTAGAGGAACCAAAATGAAGCAGGGAGTCAGGGAGACACTCTAATTTATGTCTAATGAGCAAATTTGATATGGAAGCCATAAGTGTGTAATCTCAGTGTATGTATTTTAATAACAGTGCACTAGGGTGAAACTAATTGTTTGAGTATTTTGTTAATCTGCTGATGTCCTTGCTAAATTGCAGAAGAGGGGAGCATGACTACTTTAGATTTCATGCTTAGCTGCTGTTTCTCTGTGTAACTATAGAGCCTGCCCCTTTGCCTCCTTGAAAAGATGCCTTCTATTATTTTAGCATCTCATATTTTTGCCTCAGAAAGCATTACCTGTCATCTATTTCAGTAATTAGTTTAGGAGATGTCTTTTCAGCCCAGTTTATTTTAAGAATTGATCTTATAGTGAGTCTATGTGTAAGTATGTACATAGATGTGGTGCTCTCCCAGAGAACTAGAGCAAAGTTATCAACGGAATGGGCAAAGGACAGCCCTTAAAAATTAGTAGTAAAACTTCCGCTGACGTTACTGAACGTCTTGCTCAGATAGGCCCTATCTGGAGTCTGAATGCTTCACTGAGGCTGAACCAGATGCAACTTCACACCAAATTAGGACCTTCAGGAGAACAGTTATACTGATCTGAAATCCGTTAAACCCACTTCATATCTGAGCATCCCCTTTGATTTTTTCCTGGTGTACTAAATCAGTGACATGTCAAGGAATATCATTTGACTTTTCTCCTGTCATGTTAGCTTCATGAAGATCTAGCAAAAAAGAACTCTGTGACGTTTGACTTATGCTTTTACTATTGAGTCGAGGTTGATTGGTTGATTGAAGTCATATAGTGTAACACCAAAGGGAATCTGATTTCTAGCCGCACATGTAAAATAACAAAGATTACTCTTCTTTTTTTTAAGAAAAACCTTGAATTTACAGACCTAAAGATGGCTGAAGTTTTCAATATTAGACCAATTATCTGAGACTTTGAGAGAATAGTTTTTTAACCAGAAATGCAGTAGAGCTGCCTTCACATAAGCAGGGCTCAGTTGCTGCTGGGTTTGTGCTGACCAGCAAAGATGGAAATTGTCTGGCGGAAAATAACTGTCTATAAATGTCTTAACAGTACGTGTTACCATTAAGCAGTGAGTTTTTCAATTAAAAATCTTGGTGTTTTAGCTCCTGATAATGCAAACTTGGTCCCAGGGTCAGGTGAAAGAACATATGGGGGGCAGTGGTACGGAGATCCACCTGAACTGCCTGAGCAATGGGGCAGATGTCCCTAGTGGAGGTGTTGAAGATCCTTGTGGGAACACCAAAGACGGAAGTGCTCGTTGTATGGAGTGTATGTGGTGTATATTTTTATGTAAAACTGAACTCTGGCTCTTGCAGGTATTACTGTTGCAGCCGTCTGTGTCTATCCTGCCAGAGTCACTGATGCCGTTAATGCCCTAAAGGCTGCTGGATGCAACATACCAGTAGCTTCAGGTAAGAGCTTTAGTTTCAAATAAGCGGCTTACACCCGATTAAATCTTCTGATGCTATAAACCATATAGTAAAATGTGGAAGTTGGGGCTTGTTGTGGAGCATAAAGTAGAAAGGAGGCAGGTAGGAGGAAGGGAATGGAGGGAAGGATTTGCTTTTGCTATAATCCTATGCTTTGTTTGAAGTTTATGCCAAGTCTGTTTCACTGGAAGCTCTTCATAGAAGTCTTTAAGACATGTATCAGTGTCTCCTTGGACGTAGTATCATTAGTCAACAAGGAGCTGTTAATAATAACAGAATTGAAATGTGAGATTTAAAGAGTTCTGATACAGTTTCCCCCCATCAGCTGTTTGGCTTTTTAGCCAATCTTACAAGCTGAATTCAGGGGCACTGTGTGCAGAGGCAAGGGTTGCTGCCTGCTGAGCATGCGCAGGATCAGGACTTGTACTCTTGCTTCTAATAGTCTCCAGTCACCGCACAGGAGAGACAAGTCTTGAATTTGCAATAAGCAAGAAATAGAATCCCAGAGTTACGCAGGTTGCAAGGGAGCTCTGGATGTCATCTGCTCCAACCTCCTCCTCAAAGCAGGGGCTAACTTTGAAGGTAGAACGGGTGATTGGTGGTGATATCCACGTCTGCTGGATTTTTTTTTTTTGGTATGTTTATTTCATTGTTGTGTGGGGAAAAATAAATACTTGTCTGTCAGAGAGAATTTCCAGCAAAGCCATTATTTATTCAACTTCCAAAGTTACTTTGGGATTTTGTACTGAAACATAAAGGTAACTTTAAGTAGACCCCGCTACAAGCAACTTTTACTTTACTGTGATTTAGCTGTTAAAAATATTACTGGGATTTAACTTGAAATACTACTTTAAAGAATTGGGCAGAATTATGAAAGCATATATTGCTTCATATGTGAGTGGAGCTTTGAGAAAATGTAAGGTATATGAAGTAGACAATTTTGCAAGTTACAGTTGTCATCACAAAAAATAGTGGATAAAGCACTGAATATTGGGGGAAGAGCTAATACTTCTTGTCAGTGAAGAGTGGGAAGAATGAAGTGCCATTAGATTTTTGAATCTATGGCAGGGATTAAAAAAAAACAGATTACAAACTTTCTGATGTATTAGAGGTATATGCAATTTTATGGTAGGTCTATAAAGCAGCTTTTCTCTCCTTCCCCCCTCCATTCTTCCTAGTGGCTGGTGGTTTTCCCTCTGGACAGATGCCTCTACAAACGAGACTGGCTGAAATAAAGCTGGCTGTGGAATATGGTGCCAGAGAGATTGATATTGTCATTAACAGGGCTCTGGTGCTGACTGGCCAGTGGGAAGGTAGGTACCCTTAGGCAGAAGACCTAAACCTGTGTGCACACTCATGCAGGCTCTGCCTTTCTCGCTTCCTCCACTCCCCTCCTCAATCCTTTAAGATCCCTCCCCAAAGAGTAATTGATAATCTGGGGCATTGCACTGAATAAAAACTATTTAATTAATTTCTAGCAAACGTTTATTTTGAAAAGAAGGCTGTTAAAAGTTGCATTAGGTAGGGCATTCAGAGCGGCTTTGTTTTGAAAAAAAACGTGTCCATTACTTCTGTGCCTCAGAGGATTTTGTGTACAATATTAAAAAAAATGGAGTAGAATACTGTATTGTGTACAGTGTTAAAAAAGTGGAGTGGAAGAAAAGTGAGAGCCTGTGCTCTAATTATTTGAACAGTTTTGTTAAAACCCCGAAGGGGCTGCTAATGTAGGTGATATCTTGTTAAATATACATGTTTCAGTTCTTGACAAAAATATGTATTTCAGTTGATTTCTTTTCCCTGGAAGCTAAGGGTACAAATTCACGGCTCGTGTTATTATTGATGTTCTTGGGTCTTCTAGACTACTACTAATTAGTAAGAACAATAATGCTGAAGATGGTTTTTGCTCTAATTGCCTCTCTTAATGTACTGTGAATGGTTTGCCTTAAGTGCTGACAGTGCTTCTATAACTAATCTCCATGTAAAGGTAAACACATCATTGTCTTGGAATGAATTTCCCATTTAGTTGTATAATGCAGCCCTGTAATAGCCTGGTTGATTGGAACACTTCACAAAAGACACCTGGCACCTGAGTTTGGTTAAGGAAATGTAATCATTGTGGTAACAGAACATATTTTCTGATTTGGACTTCCTTCCATTAGCAAATAGAAATGAACAAAAAACCAGCAACTTGCTGCATTCTTGTGCCTTCGAGACTGTGAGGCTGGCTACACTTGCTTTTGCATCTTAACCTCTTTCATAGCATCTACCTTCTCCCTCCCCTGGCCCTGAAATATTATGCAGCTTTACAGGTAGGTGCCTTCTTGGTGATGGGCACTGTCCCCAGCACTCCCTTCTTTCAGTGCAGTTAAGTTTAGATCCAGACTCAGAAAGTGCTGGACTATGGAGACTGGATGACTGAGGAGTTTTAAATAGGACAGAATAGTGATGCAAGTTATGTGTGTGTTAATACATGTGTGCACATGTACATGCACACTGGGGACCTGTGCAGGTTTTAGACACAGAATGAGCTAGCTGACTCTGTCAACTCAACCCCCTCTATCCCCTCAAAAAAAAAAAAAAAAAAAAAAAAACACCAAAAAACCCCCAACCAAACTAGACTTGAACAGCAACTTGAACTTGTGCCTGAGAAAGTTTGTCGCTGCCTTATGGCAGTTTTTGGACCTAATTATCATTGCCATGCTCCAGACCTTGTGGTACGAGCAATGCAAGTCACATAGCATAGAGGTTAGGGAGCTACTGCATGAAGCCACTTTCGAAAAGCTCTAGATTATGTTGTCCAGGATTGCAACAAGGAAAGTCAGAGAAAAAGAAATCCAGAGATCGATCCAGAAACAGCAGTGGCTGAAATGAAACCAAAATTAAGATGACCTGGGCTTATTTTAGTAGGTGCTTATGTATGGGAAACTATGATCAAAATTTTTCTGTGATCAAAAGTTGTGGGGGAAGAATATGCAGACATAGTAATGATGAACATAGTATAAAGCTGTCCATTGCTAAATAAGTAAATACAGCTGACTTTTGATTTGGTGTGCATATTCTTTTACCCACAAGCTGAAGTCACGACAAGCTTGAAAGACTTTTTTTTTTTTTTTTGGCAATAGTTAGCTTACATTTCTTTTACAGAGGGCAGAACTGAAGTTATTTCCAAATGTTTTCTCAAGTGGATTTATGGAGGTGAATCTGTGAGTATGGCACGTATTTACATTGCCGTGGGAACACAAAATCAACCTCAAGAACAGAATCTACTTGCCACCTGATAGTAATGATGAGGAGGAGGCCATGGAGAGAAACTGCTAAATTTTAATTTGCCCATCCTCCCAAGCTTATTTCAGGTCCGATGCTTAGGGTGTTTTTTTGTTGTTGAAAATCTAGTTTAGCTTGCAATAGGTATATGCCACCTGTGTGAACCTGTCGTTCTCTAACTGTGCTTAGTGATTGTATGTGATATGCTATAATGTTTAAAGTGTATTTGAGGGAGCTAGAAGAAGAGATAAAGAACTCTGTAAGCAGGATCCATATATCCTATAAAATCGAAAAAAACATCTAGGGCAATAACTATGTCTGCGTTCAAAGTACTTCATAAACGTAACCTGCTGTGCAGTTATGACAGAACCTCTGCTGATACTTATAACACTAGTATGTTTTTACAGTTATTTTCTCATGCTGTCATTCTTCAAAACTGAAGGTATTATTGACAAAACTATGTTAGTGGTAGAGTGTTTTATTTTCTTGTTCATATACTTTTTAGATTTTTTTCCTAGACTGTGCAATAATTGGGGTCAGCATGTTGGAGAAGTGTTGCAATTTTGCAAGTTTTCTGATTTGTTTCAAAAGCTTGCTATGTGATTATTTTAGTGTATATCCAATTATGTCAAGTTGTTTTAAAGCCATTCTTAAATATTGCTGAAACTCGTTATGACATTCCCAATATATGCTCTAGATCTATTCTTTATAAGATAATTGCCAAGAGCATATTAGTAATGCTGAACATGAAAGCAAATGTATTGGATGGCTAATTGAGGTTAGAAAATAACCTTAAATGAGATTTAGGTTTCAGAACTTACACATATATACCTTTTGAAACCTATTAGCTTTTAGAGCAATAACACTTTTCAGTAGTTTTTTCAAGCATTGCCTTGTATTACTTTACAAAGTATGAATTAAGATTAAAAGGCAGGATTTAAATAGTGTCTAAAAATGCAATTTTGGAAGCCATATATAAAGAGTTATGGAGTTGACTAACAAATTATTGAAAGAACCTTTTTTTCTTTTTTCTGTTAGCAATAAATACATTGGAGTTTCAGTAAAGCTGGTTGAGATGCCATAATGTTGCCACTAGTTGCACAGCTTTCGGCAAACAGCCCTGCATACCGTAGCATCACCTACTTCTAAGTTCTCCATAACCTCTTATTTACGCTCTGTCAGCTGCTGTTTCCTCTTTTAAAGAAAGAAGAGGAAAAAAGCAAATACACTGTAAGAAGTTTAGCAGCACATTTTCTTGGGTGCTAAAGGGGGAAGCCCTTGGGAAAGGGCTGTGAGTTTTTTGATGTGGTTGTTGTTTTGTTTTCCTGTAGTCTTTTCATGCCTTCTGTAGAAGATGCAGATTATCTCCATAGACCCCATACCTGCCATTGGGTCCTATAAAAATCAAGAAGCCACTTGTTCCGACTCTGCTTGATTTGGCTTAATAGTACAGGAATCCCATCCTGCTGAGGCTGCTGCTGCTACTGGGCTTAACCGAACTACTGAGTAATAAAGTGACTGGCTTTTTTGGGCAAGCACTGCCAGTCCTAGAAGAAGCTCTAGACTCTTGGAAATCCTGAGTACATGCCTAGGTATGGTTAACACCAGCTGTACAGTAGACATTTCATGAGAAGTTTCAAGATGCTCAAGTTTGTCAATTGACTTAGATTTAAGTGAGTACTGAAACTGTTTTTTTTGTTTTTTTAAAGGAGTAGGAATTTTTGCACTTGTTTTTTATCAAAGCAGACCCTGTTGGATGTTTTTCAGGCTGGGATGCTCTGCTTCATTTGCTCTGTCACACAGGTAGTTGCATTTCTATTTGCACTTTTACTGTGAGGCTGAGGATGTCCTGTGAATGACAAGATGCTGTCTGTGATAACTGTTCTCTGAAGAGGGAGCAGTATTTTTTACCTACCCCATTGAAGTGTGCCCACTATGCCGTCACTTGGGATAACCTGATAGACACAGATGATTGAAGATGCTCAGTTTGCCTGCCTGTGGGTTGAGGCGTGCTGTCAGATAGTGAGACTCTTCAAATGATCTTGGCACTAATTGCGTATAAGAGCAACTTCCAACAATAGGGAAGATGCTGTAGCTGCAGCACCTACCTCAGTGAACAGCAGTTATGAAGATATAATTTCCTTTCATGTCATCCAACCTAAATGCATGTTGATTTTGTTTTGACATTTTTGGTGGTGTATCTTAAAGTAGGGAAAACTGGAGTCTTTTCTTGTTGTTACCGAAACTAGAAGACTATGAAAGCTGCTTTCTTTGGCTTTCCTGAGGCTTCAGGAATATATCACTTCACAAAAAAGAGACTGCATTCAGGTTTAACATGAGCAGTGTTATCAAGTGCATGAGCAAAATAGCACAAATTCTTTGTATTTCTTTTCTTTGAGGCTCGATTTAATGTAGAAGGTTCCTGGAGTATCATCAGTTGATCAATAAAACATGTTAGGCTGCATGCTAGTACTGATTAATTCACACTTTGGGTACATAGTGAGAAACAAGGTGAAGACCAGGGTCTGTAAAGGGACTTGCTAAGTGCATTAGCCCGTTGTCTCCTAATGGACATAGTATGTCCCTGAGGAGCACCTCAGGGATCCCAGTCCCAGCTGCTGGATGTGCCAGCGCTGTCAATAGGATTCAGTGGTACCATGGCTGGAGGGAAGGTCCAGCTGTACAGCAGCCTGACCAGTCCTGCTGGATGTTTCCAGGTCTCATCTGAGGACTGAAAGGAAATGAAAGCTGGTTGCGCTTCTGAATAACTTCAGTCTCCCATAACCATATTCTGGACTTTTCTAGCAATAAATGCATCTTAAAACCTGTGTTTGGGCCTTTTGTAATTTAACTTTTCAACATAGTATTTAAAGAGTGAGTACAGTCTATGAAAAGGATCCTCTTATAAGGGATTGTGTTTGTTTATTTTATGTCTTTTTTATTTGCTCTCTGGAAGTGCTGACTGCACCCTGTAAAATCTGCTACTTTTCTCCATACCATTAACTCCGGATGAGTTTTATTCATCTCTAGGTGGCCAGCTTCTGACATTATATTATTTTCTAGCTTCATATTGGAAAACCAATGAATGGCAATGTTTGCAAATATGATGGTATGGACAAATCTCCTTCCTAAATTATAGGCAGTGTTCTTGGTGAGTGTGTGGATCAAAAGTGAGAGTCCATTTCTGCCCTGCGATGCCTATGGATCCCAACAGCTTTGCTGAGAACTGCATATGTTAGCTAAGGATGAATTTGGGCTATAATGCAACAGAGAGAGAAAAGCAACCCAAAAGTCTGGCAGACCTAGGGTTCAGGTTTGAGGGCTATAATCCCCCATCAAGCTGAGCTGAGCCAACCTAGCTTCTGGCTGCTGTTTTCTCTCTGTCTTCCATTGAGTGGTTCTGCTGTGGGGTTTGCTTTTCTGAGCCATTTCAGGTTTCTACGTACTGCTCCACATCCCACCTAGCAGCTTGAGCTGGTTTCAGGGAATTCAAGAATTTCACAAAATTCTTATTTTGAGGAAACTGAAAACCATGAGATTCTGGTACCTAAGCATGAGCATCTAGTTCAGACTTCCCAAGAGAGCCTGCTGGTACTGAGAGAGGTACTGAGAGACCTAAGTGGGGGGAATGGACCCCCACAGTACCTCCTGGAAGCTAGGTGGCATGTCCACACACCTCTGGTGGATGCTATCTGTGATGTTTTTTTAGACTCAGCTTTGGCAAATGTGGCTGAAGGCAACAGAAAGATTGGTGACATGATATATATAGGAAAACTTAGGTGTCCCTGAGTACTGATTCAATTTCCTATTGTATTTATTGCAGAAAATCCCAATTATATTTATTGCAGAAAAAGCTGCTTCAAAATCAGTGTTGGAAATATACCACAAAAGCTTAAATATAATTGTATTTTTACTGCTGACATATTCGTGAGTGTTCAGCATATTGTGCACCTCCTTAGTTTTTGAGAGAAATGACATTAATAGCTATTAAGTTAAGTCTGAAATCGTGTGGCATTGTTAATTACCTACAGTCGTGCAATTTATTGAACTTGGGAAACTTAAGTTCTTGAGTGTTATGACTAATTGTAAGATTGGAAATTAATCCAGAAGTGGAAATTACAGCCATACTTGAAAATGCTTCTCAGCCAACTTTGATCATTTTCAAATGCTTTTATCCACAGAACTGTATGAGGAGATCCGTCAGTGTCGTGAGGCCTGTGGAGATGCTCATATGAAAACAATCTTATCAACGGGTGAACTAGGGTCACTTGGTAATGTCTACAAAGCCAGCATGATAGCTATGATGGCAGGTAAATATATGCTTTTTTCTCTCTTTTTTTTTTAAGCTGAGAAGTTTCTTCATTATATTATTTATGAAGCTTAAAAAATTCTAGTCACAGAAGTTTAGTTTTGCATAAACTATTTTGCAAACTGTTTTTGCAAAAACTACTATGCAGCAAATACTGATATTGCAGGTGTAGTACCAAAGTGTCACTTGTATAACCTACTAGAACTACACAGAATGTTAAAAAATCACTTACAAATGCTAAATGACAAAGATTATAGGAGCAAATCATATTTGTTGTCAAACATCAAATCCATGGCATGTTTAATCATGGACACATACTTTTGGGGCAGGCATATCTAGGCAGTTCTGGAAAGCATGCAGATGTGATTTTCAGTGAATGGCTCACAAGCTCAAGAATGAAGATTCCTCCTGACATGAATTTGTTCATGATTTGTGATCCATAACCATGTCAGTGGGATGTGTTTTGGGAACTAAATTCTACTGCAAAGGCAGCAAGAGGGAGAGCACCACCCATTGGGTAGGTGCTAAATTGAGCTGGGTTATAAGGGGCTTTATCTGGTGCATTCAAGAGTAGTGACAGTCAGTACCAGCTGTCAGTGGTTATGTCAAAAAGTGTTCAATTTTTACCATTTCTGAAAACTAAGAAGTTAATTCTAACATTAGTTAGTTACACAAACAGTTCAGGAACTTGTCCTTTATTCAGAATCATTTAGCTGAAGAAAAACATTCCTATGAGGAGGGAGGATTTTTAGCAGCTGCTTGTAGTTTGTAGGCGTTACTTCTTTGCATAGTTATAGCCACTGCAGACTGAATGTGATGAAGAACCAACGTGAGGTTGGATATATAGCACTATGTTCTCTCTGCAGTTTAGGTTCTGCACTGCTACAAGTTTCTGTAGGTTACCCAAGATTTCTAGGATTGCAGATAAAAGGCATCTCTAAGATGCAGGACTAGAAAGAGGCTGAACAAAGCTTCGTTTCTTTGAACTTCCATGTATATATCTGCTTCATCTGGCTTGCTTAAAAGAGAGAGACTTTAAGTATATTAACAGAGGGAAATGCAATCATGTGCTGAGAACCACTGGGCTGGTGGGACTTCCAAGTGTTCCATATTTGTGTTCATTTTTTTCCATGGTAAAGTCCTCTAACCTGGAAATGCTTTTTCTTCAAAAAACATTGCTTTTAATTGAAAGAGGTGTAGGAGAGTTACCCAGTGTTTTAAACTAACATGGTAATCATTATGAAAACATTCTGTGATATGAAATAGTGAAAAATTAAACTTGTAATGAGATAAAACATTTTCAGATTTCTTACTGGTGTAGTTTTATTGCAATACAGCAGATGGCTCTATTGTTAATGATTTTCATTGCATAGTTATTCTCTTTATAAAATACTTATGAATATGTGGCATAATTCCCTTATTGTGGTATCTTTCTTTGTGGTTGTGTGTAAAAAAAGAATTTGTTAATAGCTTAACTGAATGTACTTGGCATCTGTATTTGCAACCTCTGACTTCTCAGGACTGCTGAGACCCTCAAATTCCAGCTCTAGTTTGTTTTATCTGCATATTTATAGCATTTTGAAGAGAAAGTAATTTGGTTTTGTAGGTGTAAATACTAGCTTTACCATCCATATATATATATATATAAAATATCCATATATATATATATAATTTTTTTTTCAATTGATGTCATGGTTTGAAAGAAGGCTGATTTGTGACTATGGCAGGCCCCAAGAGCTTTTATTAGGATACAAAAGAGCAACACCTGAGATGTGACTCTAGTGATTAGGTTTATGAGGAAAATAGCCATACAGTCAATTGGAGCAAATTTGGCTTTAGAAGTTTTGTTGTCTCTGGCCCCTTGTTCCTGTCCTTGCATCGAATTTTGCTGTTCCTTCAGCTGTGCTTTTACATCTGCTTTCAAAGTAATGCAGTTGAAAGTCACTCCAGAAATGGGTAATTGTTTTTCGTTTTGTTTTGCTTAGTTGGATATATTTTTCAACTGCTCAGCACCTTGCAGTGAGGCTGGTAGCCCTCTCTTGCGCGCGGTTGTGTCGGCGTAGCTGGATCCTGGCAGCGCGCTGGAGGAGGAGGCCGGTGGCAGGAACGCTCCCGTGCGCCCTTGCCTTGTACAGGTGCTCGTGTCTGCCCCGGCAAGAGCCGGGGGAGAAGTGTTGCTTCACAGGGAAGCAAGATAATCATTTGCTTCTGTTTGAAGTGGTGGCTGTTGGCTTCTCCGGTGTCTGCAGCGGTATCTCCAAAGCGCCATGCCTGCTCCTTCCTCCCTCTCTAGCGCAGTACAGAGGCAGGCAGGCATCGCTGCAGGCACCGGCACCCGCTTCTCTTAAATGCCTTTAACCACACCTCTGCAGGCTCGACGGACATGCTAAGAATTCCTGTGGAATGGTGAAAAATGTGTTTTTCTTTTCATTGCTCTGCTGAAGCAGAGGCTGAAGAAGAGGCTGACAGGCCTCGAAGGGCGGTGGGTGAGTCAGCTGTCTGGAGCAGCCCTTGCAGTGCTAAGGAGGATACCGTGGCAGAGGCTGAGTGGCTCTGTAGCCTTTGGGAAGTTTGCTGTTTGCTCAAGGAGCTGGGAATTTGGTCTTGCTGTCTGTTTATCCTGTGCACGGCTATTTCTTTAGCTTCATGAAGTCTTCAAGGGGAGTTGAGTAGAGCTCTGCTGCGTCTCTGGCTCTCCCAGGCAGCTTCCAGGTGCTGCCGAGGACAAACTAATGAGTGGTTTTCCACATGTGATGGGTACTTGTGTGAGTCAGGCTGTTTCTGCAGGAAAGATTCAAATCTCTGTCTTTTCAACGTCTTGCAAAACACAGTCTGAAGGAACACAAGTGGGGCAGTGCCCGACTTCTCCGCGCCAGTGGGAACTGCACTGTTTCTCCATCCTCAGTCTTTAAAAGATGGATCTTGTACACTTTTTTTTTTATGACAGGGAAGCCAACTCTGTGTGTGTGTGTGTGTGTGTGTATACGTATGATAGTCATGATTCTCCCTTTCTCTCTCTATATATGAATATGTGTAAATATACACACATACATACATATAATCACAATTATCAGAACCTGCAAGGAAGACAGATAAAGAAGGGGAACCTGATAAACTTTTAAGAGGGGCAAAAAAGTACCAGGAGAGATGTGGATCACTGTTATTTGCATATTTTAGTCATAAACAAGTTATTTTTATTTTTAAAATCTTATTTCAACCGTATTATTTTGTTATGAGTCTTTATTGTTATGTAGAAGAATTCATATCAATTATGATATGCAAAATGGGAGAGGCACTGATAGAGGAAGTAATTAAGTAAATTTCTTTAAAAGTGAACATTTTCTCAGTATCATTTAGACTGTGAAAACTGGTATTCACAGGAGAAATCCTTTTACCTTAGTCTTTGGGAGGCAAAAGAAAATACTGCAGTGAAATGACAGAAGTTTGTTTTCATTATAGATATTTAAAGAAATACCTGTGTAAAGATCAGGAAGAAGAGATGCATATCCTACTGCAACTTCACCAAACATATAACTTTAAAACCATTTTATCACAGGTCATTAGTTGCTGAGTCAAATTATAAGCTGAAATACAGATTCCTGTGAAAAAATGAGTTTAGAAAGGGAATGAGTTAATGATAATATCTAGAGTCTAGTTAATGAGCTAATATCTAGCGTCTCTAAAACACACACACATACCAAAAAAAGAAAGTGAAAAGTAGCAAAAGATGGCTGAGGCAACAAGGTCTCTGATGCTGATAGGCTAGAGGGATAAAATTAAAACACATGAAATATGCAAGCAGGAATTTATTTTTTTTTAGATGCTTTGATACTGTTTGTTCCAAAGTGAACAGAAATAATCTAGCCAAATGGGGAAGAAAAGCTTTCTCTCCCAGTTCTCAGGAGAGCTCACTATCAATCTTTCAAGGCCTCATAATGGCTTATGAGAACGGTTCCAGTTAATATACAGTTACCATTTTCACAGAAAGCCTTTCCAAAACCTGAAATCACAAGTAGGTTGGCCTTGTGCTGCATCCAGAGAGGTGTGTGTTGGCTGTGGGCTGCAGTATTCAGTCTTTGCCTTTGAAAGCAGAAGGTTCATTGGGGCTCCTGGTCATTCCGTTTCTGAAACTCATCTTTGGTTGTTGTTGTTGTTTTATTGCTGTTTGTTTATTTTTTGCAAATAATGTGCCTGTAGCTGTTGTTTTGAGCACTGTCTTGCAAAGTTGTGTTCTGAATAGGGTTAGATGGTAGGGCTGTAAACGTGCTAGCAGCTGCCAGAGCGTTAGGAATACATTATCTGCTGTGGAGCGTAGACTGCTGTGATCCAAAGCAGGAGTTCTACCAAAAAAACGTTGTATGAAAAATTTAAAAGAAGAGAGGAGCCCAAACTAGCAAATTTGACTGAAAAGCTAGGGCAGGCTTTGTGTAGATGCTACTAACGCAGGAAACAGGACTACTAAATAAGTAATAATTCCTGGCACTTACATAGCACTTTACATGTTCAAAGTGTATACAGACATTAGCAGAATAAATAAAGCAGAGTAAATAAGCCAGTGAAATACAAGGCAAAGATTGTAATGGACAAATCCAACCGAGATCAGAAGTTCTAGGCTCCTGACTTACTGTGTGTCCATAATTTTAGCTGGAATTTGACACTAATAATCAGCTGTTAAGAGTCCAGAACATTTCCAAATGAAAGGCAAACCAAATAAGGGAAGAGGCTTGGTAACAATTATAAAAACATAATTCTCATTTGTGTCTCATTTTATATGTATGAAATACAGCCAACTATATTGAGTTTTTGGGCTTATCTGTAAAGGGTATCCCTTACCCTATAAACAGACAGTAAGAAGCTAGGGGCCATGTAGGGTTGTCATATGCCATAAGCAGAGCAAGCTAATGTTATCAGTTCCTTTATGCAGTTAGGGGTCAGTGACGTGGTTATGATTGTTTTTAAAGATGTTAAGCTCTGGCCTGGAGGTGGTCTTATGCTTACCAA